TGAAAATAATTTAAACTTTACAACCTTAAAGTCAATTAAAAAAAGGAAGAATTGCATTTTTGGAATATCTCAGTCGAAATGTAAAAAATATTTCAGAATTTCCATTGTATAAACAATGTTTATTGTTCACCGAATTATTATTAAGAAAAGAGAGTTTTATGCAAAACCAGTGAGGGTAGACACGATCGCTATAAAAAAAGAGAAAATCTACACGCTAAATCGTACAAGTTTATAATGCATGAAGTGTTAATTAAAAGCTTATGAGCCTTGAAGGAAATAAATTAAACTTGTGAGATAAATTTTATTTTATGCGCTCAAGAAGCGAGGAGTCATAAAAATAGCGTTGAAATACTCAATGTCTAATTACCCTTAGTTTAATATTTCTCTTAATATTTATGATATATCTTCTTTGTTTCGATTATGCTTGTGAAAGTTTTAAAACCTTTTCACGGTGTTTTTATCTGGAGTAAGATTTAGAGTTAAACGAAAAAACTACAGAGATCATCAGCCTTCAGACCCAAAGATCATCGCCTTTTTTATTTCATTTTTTGAACTTAGCGTTTTTCCTGGTTTTTAAGAGAATCTTGATTCAATTTGATTTAAGATAGAGGTAATTTTTCGAACAGAAAATTGCAAAGGTGATTTTATATTAGGCAGTTATCAATCTCAAGTTATAAAAGTTTCCTCTGGCGTGCCACAATGTGCTCTTCTTTCTCTACCCTTATTTTTGTCAACGACCGTCCTTCTATTGTAAATTATTCAACCCCTCTTCTCTTTTCAATCAATTTTGTATGAATTAAGCCCCGTTTACAAGACGATAGTTGTTGTCGTAAGTGTGACTATTGCTAGCACTATCACCGTATAACCAACCATCTTGAGTTAGTTACTATCGTACGGTCATGAGAGGACGCTCACATTATTTAACTCGGCCTGATAGTACGATAGCTGAGAGTAGCTATCGTGATAGTGCCGCTACTCTCTAGTTCCTATCGCGTATAAACATCACTATCGCAATTTCGTGATTGCAAAGTTACCAAAACACGTTGATACTTGATACTAGCTCGTTAGTACTGGCAGGTAGTTGCGTTAAAAATGTCAGTCCAATCCTTTGATGTTTTCGAATTTCTCGAAGAGAACAAACGAACATCGAAAAAAAATGGCACGATTTTAAAAAGAGAATTCAAACGAATGCAGCTACTTTTTGCTATTCCCCATTCTTCTCTTTTTTGAGCTTGTTTTACTTTGGCAATTTCAGTACGATTATTAAGCCCGATAATTCGTGCCCATTTTTACTGCTATCGAGAAACAACATCAAGCGTAAACAGCACAACAATGATAAATAAATACATTGGTTGAAGAAATAGGACAAGATTCTGTTTAATCCTTTTTTTAAAAAGATAGTTCCTCCTCACAGTAAGGATTGAAGGATTTCTACAACCTGACAATGAGCTAAGGGCTCGAAATCCGGATCGCTGGAAAACAACTTACTGTGAGTAGGAACTATATTTTTTAAAAAAGGATTGAACACCGCACTCACTCCACCATTCACCATTTCTAAGATTCTGTTTTTCCCAAAAGCAATGTTCGTAACTATTTTTTAGAGAGAGTTTTGACTCCGGATGAGAGGATAGAGGTTTTTCCCAAAAATGCCACAATACAAAAATTATGGTGAGAACAGCAACCCTGTATAGACAACTGTTTACTTCAGTCCGATTTGGATGATCTCTACCACTGGTTCCTAGACAACATTCTATATCTATAAACAAATGTTATTCCGTGAGCTTTCATCGGACTAGGATTGATCATAGTTTCACTTGCTCTATTAATTACCTATGTACCTCTTATGAGAGCAGTATTACTCTAAATGCGTTAATTATGATTTTGGCGTTATTTTCAATCGCAAATTGAAATTTATAGGTCACATGGACCATATTAAACCCTCCAACGTATACATGCTCAGCATCTTATATCATTCCTGATTTCAACCCTTACGTCTTGACCTCTCTTTACACCACTATAAAGGTCAGTGGTTGAGTACTGTTCTATTTGTAATCCTTCCTCTGCTATTCACAAACTTCAATCTGTACAATTTAAATTTCTTAGAATCCTTGGGTATAAAATCGGATACCGACTTCCTTCCCCACCCCTTCAAAGTCAACCTATATAAACATAAAACAGCAAAATCTCACTAGCACTCTCAACACGACACGCAAGAATGGCACAATTACACAGAAGACAAACACTTTGAGTGAGTAGAATTACTTTGATTGAATATAAAAAATATGTTTTGTATTGTATAAATTCACTTTTCCACATCCTAAATGTATTTGTTAAATGTAAACAATGTTTGTAAATCCCAGGCCGTAAAGATGATCTCAATAAAGATCGAAACGTTGGCACAATAAAGAAAATGTTTTTCTGAAACCTACATCACACCAGACCGCATCTCACGATTTCTGAATAACTTTCGTATTAGCTTTGCCTTCATTTGCTCCTGTAGATCGCAGTCAAGCATCGCAGCATTGTGGTGTCAACAGGTGTCATTCCCCTTGCCCACTTAAGACCAGGGGTAAGTTTGTAGGAGTAGGTGAAGACTAAATCCTGGCGAGCTTTGATGTTCCCAAAAAAAATTTTAGTATTGCTTCCTGTTCATGCTGATCCCATAATTCATGGCTCTTCTTTTTCGCTTCCGATATGATTAAGGACCTAGGTACGTCCCGGAATTCCATAGGTAGGGATTTATCTGCTACCGCTTCTTTCGCGTATAGGTCTGTTTCATAGGGTAGTGTGCTCGGACCAATTTGAACCTCCTCTTCACCACAGACATCCCAACCCTCTATTCTCTTTCCATCCTTTGCAGCCGACACAGCCGTGCTTACCTCCGATCCTGATCCAGCAATTGCCTTGTAGAAGCTCCAGGCACAGGCCATAGAATAACCCAATGGAGAAAACAAATGCTCCCATGTTATATTTACCCTCCGTACCAAAACCCCTCACACGGTGGGTACTCAACAACATTCCTATCCATAAAACCGACTCCGTACGCTACCTTGGCCTCTCTGTTAACCTACGCTAAACCTGAACCGACACACACAAATAAGAAAGAAACTGAACAAACGCTTCGGACTTCTTTATAAACGATTGGACGAAAATCAAACATGACGACGAACATCAAACTAACGGTCTGCAAAATATTAGTCAAACCGATTTGAACATTTTGAACTATGAGGCACCGTTTAACCTACCAATATCCAAGCATTACTCCTTACAATCCAAAGTCCTCAGAATCTCCAATACCACCCTACAAAATGACCTCGAAATACTCTTTGTAAGTAAATTAATACCCATCAAATTGTCTAAGTTTCACGATAAACTCTACACTCACCCCAATCCTTGTCTAATAATCATCTCTATAATCCCGTCCGATGGGAAGACAACAGTGACTAGCTAACTCCTCACAAGACGCAGTGTATTGTAAATATGTACGATAAAATCCATAAAATTACAAAATGCATTATTTTATACAGAAGGTAATAAATATTTTATTAGGAAAAAGTACTAATATTGACATTAGGCAATTTGAACAGTACTTTAAGTTACATGCTCCAGAGACACATAGAAATATGTACTTACACAAACTTTTTTATCAAGTAATTAAATTTTTTACTTATTTATCCATTTTTTAACAAATGAATAAAAAAGTTGCAACTGCGTCGTATGTCCAACGTTAATGGACGAAGTTGTGTGTAAACCGTGAAAAAGTAGAGCGAAGGAAGAGTTCACGGTCATCGCATTTCCAATTACACTCATGAACAGAGTGTGGTTCAACTATTGAGAACAGATTTCACCTTTTTTTCACACTTTCCAGTATGTTTATCACGCCGACGACATTTAAACCGAGTCCGTCTAATAAGCTCAGCGACTCCTACGTTTTTCAAAGATGACGCGGGGAAAAAAACAGAACGAGGCTTCTGACTTTCCTTTCTTCTTCTTTCATTTGCACGAATGCTCTTTATTCCATTCTTCTGTGTTTTTTGTCCTTTCTGTCATGTATTCGTTCTTTTCTGGGTTGCTTATTACTAAAAAGAGAAAGTATGTTTCTTTATCTTAATTTTGACTATCCCGTCCTCGTATTACATTCTACCATAAATTTATTGTATTTCTATGCTGAGACACGTTTATCTATTTAAATTCCATACCGTCAAAATAAAAAATTCATAATTTTGAAAACCATCCCCTAACCTAAAACCCTAAACCTAACCTCCCTTTGTAAGTCTTGCAGATGGCCCTTCTATGAATCTCTTTGCATGGCTCATGCCTGGTCTATTGTTCCACCAGGATTAATGATCCATTTTTGGATTAATCTTTTTGTGGCAAGATGCTAGGCCATATATGGTTCTTAGCCTAGAGAATTCATATTGGCTCCTTTTTTGGCCATCTTCACTTTCTCATTGCATCTATGTCCCAAATGCCCAGAGACCCATGCCAGGGTCAGGTCATGACGTCACTGACTTTTGCCAGGGCTTCCACACAATTCCATAAGCTTGCCAAGGTCTTCTGTGCCACCTGACTTCAGAGAAAATGGTTATCTTCCTGGAATGTGTTCTAGCCTATTTTCTCTGGTGCAGTACTCTGGTCTAGCTAGTTTTGTATGTCAGACTTCCAGTGATTTGTCCATGTGTTATTTTGTCAGTTATGTTCCTTTTATACATTTTTAAAAGTGAAGGTTTTTAGCATCTGACAGAAAAAATCAATAAAAATAAGCTTACCAGGATGAGGTGATCAAACTAATATATGTCCATCACTTGGAATATAAAATAGTACCCAAAAAATTGTATTTATTTCCATTAATTTTTCCAATAGCACCACAATATATTGTCGTTTCCATTAGGATACTTTTACAAGCGCAAATGGATCATTGACGATTTTGAGTCATGTCAACATCATTCATGAAAAAGGGTGGTGGTAGGGCAGAGATGGTAGACTAAATAGGTTCAAAATACTCAAGCAACTATTTTACTTTTTTCGCTTTTTAAATATACAATATATACAAAAATAGGTATTATAAACTATGTACAATTAGTTGTGTAATTATTAAGAAAATTTAAGAGTTGATGCATCCCGTGAAGAAACTTGGGAACCAGTAAAGTGTTTCTTTTGAGTCTTGGGTGTCCACCCATGCTAAGCCTTCTGTCACTAAGCCTAAAATTATAAAATAAAATAAGTAAACAATAAAAATTTATCAATGTTAATTATGCATTTGTACCTTGTAGAGCTTTTTCCGCTCTAGGCTTGGTCCAGTTGAGCTGTGAGATAAGGTATGACAGCGAAACGTTTGCGTTGTTCGACACTGAGGACAGAACACTCGTCTGGTCCATGCTCATCTCCCCGGGAACAGACTGTACGACGTACCGCCCCCCACCAACGGGCAGGATCTTGAAACCATTGCCAAACATGTTAAGCTTCTTGGCAGCGCAAAGGATGTCCTCATTCGTCACTTCTTGCGCCCTTCCACGTGAAATGAGAAGCTTCTCGCGCAGTTCATCCAACCCTGTAAAAATTTCAAACACTGACAAAGTTTAAGACATTTCTTCTTCATGAGGTCCGCAATGGCGTGTCCTAATCATTTGGAATTCATACAATTTGTTGAACAGATCAATATTGATTGCATTTTCCACCTGATGTCTGTGGGGTGATGAATCTAAAATTTGATATATACGCTTATCCGTCAGTGGATTGTTGTCTGTCAGGCTTATTTTGGCATTCCACCATCTTCAGTGTGTCATAAAATAAGTTATCAAAATACAGGTCCATCACCTCTGAACTCAACCGTAAATTTTACCATTTGTTTTATGTTAACCAAAGAAAAATATAAAATTGGATATTAAAGTGGGATTATTAAGAGAACATGCAGAGCACGGTTTCAAATTTTATTGTTTTGAAAATTTTATTACCACACCACACATAAACACACTCACACATATTCATATACTCATTCCACATAAATATATTTTGGACATGACCATTAATATAAATGTGATTTGGTAGTGAGTAGGTTTTTGGTCAAAAAGTACTATTTTTTAGTAACATTTAGACATATATTTTTGCCAAATTCATGCTATAATATTATTCCTGTTTATAAAAATTGTCATACCCTGGCAGACAAAAACTTCCACCCAACTGATTTTTTTTTTTCATTTTCTCGATAAAAGAAAATTCTGCCCTTAATTTATCTCATAGTTTTTATCAATAAATATTTGTTTATTCTATATTTTTAATTGGGAATATCAATTAAACGTAAATACACTTAATCCTTAATCCAAAACAAGGATAAAGGATTTTTCAATGTTTAATTTTTATGGAATTGAAAATGTTTATTTAGTCTCATTTGAATTCTGAAGCAATAAACTGTTTAGTTTTCATCTTTGTTTTATTAATTTAATTTTTAAACTTAAAAGTGCCACTTAGTGCTGAGGATGTTGTGCGTGGTGTGGCACTTATTGATGTTGGATTCCATCAGGTATGCGGCTATTGCCATCGGAGTTCCCTATGAAGCACTATAAGGCGCCGTTAGACGTTTTTGAAAAACTGGGTCCTACCATAGAAGGCCCGGTTCTGGATGCCCTATGGTAACAACCACAGGATTTTGACGTTTTTTGAGAATTTTGCGAAACTGGCACTTTACTGTTTTTCAAGCGATTGATCAGCTTGAAGTTCAAGGTGTCCAAATTTCTGAACACACTGCTCAAAGAAGATTAAAGCAGTATGGATTGATGGCTTTTCACCCCGAAAGAGGATGAGAATTGTCCAGAACACACAGAGTTGCACATCTCGCATTTGTTCAAGAACACGATTTGTTCATTGGTCTTTGGACTATTGGTCTGCTATACTTTTTACAGTTGAGTGTAGAATGTAGATTTGCTCTACAATCTCCAGATGGGCGAGAAAGAGTGTAGGGAAGGCGAAATGAAAGGTACGACGTCTGTAATTTTTCCCAGAGCCGACCTTTTCGACAATGCTCAGTGATGGTGTGGGCAGGAATTTCAATAAAAAGTCGCACAGATTTGATTGCTGTTCATGGAGAGTATTTGACGGCCACTCGTCATGTGGGTGAAATTTTGGAACATCATGCGTTGCCTATCCTCAATGAAATCAGTGATAATCCTATTCTAATGCACAATAATGCCCATCCACATGTCGCTCCCATGGCACAAACATACCTTCCACAGCTTAACATCAGAGTCTTAGCCTGGCCAGTCCGTTCTCGAGACTCGAACCACATCGAACATTTATGGGATAACCTCAAAAAACGAATAAGAGCATGTCCATAACTTTCTGATACACTCCACGCTCTCAAAAGGACTCTTCGTGAAGAATGGGCTAACCTCCAACAAAGAGACATTTCCAGACTGGTAGAAAGTATGTGGAGGCGTCTTCGAGAATTAAGGCACTGAAAATGCTGAATCCTGTCTGACAGACCAGCCCAGAATTGGTGAGAAAAGTTTCGCGAGTGATTTCAAGGAGTGGAAACCCACCTTTAGAGGCATGACACAGTAGAACCACTAAACCAAGGCATACATGAAACACTAGGATAATTAAACCTTCAGAATAAATGGTTACCAATGAGTCCTCCATTCTTGGACGATGTGGCCAGGCAGACTTCAACGATCTGCACGCTGAGCTCATAGTAGAAGTCACCGATGTTGAGTACTGACCAGAAGCCTTTGTTGGAGGCGAGCGGGTCGACACCGATGGCGGCGCACATCTCCTGGAACTGACGCCTGAACGTGGCGTTCTTCTTGATTTCGTTCTTGTGATTTGCTGCGAACTCTTCGAGGTTGACGCGGAACACTTCGAGCTGTTTCGTCATCTGGTCGAGCTCGCGTTCCTGCAGCTCCGTCCCTTTGTCCTTGTAACGTTCCTGTTCGAGTTTCTGCTTGTGGATGGCACCGACGCCGGCCCGTCGCCTCATCCTGATGATTACGGGTCGACACTCGACGGCCACCGACTGGAAACGTCAACGACGGCCGAACCTCGTCGACTGTTATAAAATCCCAGAATTACAAACAATTTTTCCCCTTTCCCCCAAAATGTGCCGTTTGAATTACTATCAAACTACTAGTAATCAAAATTGAATTTTCATACTTAAAAAGTTAAACATAATAAACAAATACAATAAAAAATTAATTACTCAATTTTCTAGAAAAACGACGTCCAAAATTAACCATTTTACACATAAAAGGTCCTATAAAAATTTCAAAAACATGAAATAAAGTAAATAAAAATTTGAATTGTAGGTTGTTGATCATATACTGAAGCATGATATTTTTATTTAACAGACCATACTTGGATTACTCTTCACTGCACAAGTGCACTAAAAACTGATAACCATTGAAAACATTTAAACAAGGAGAAGCTAAGAAAAGCTGGAAAAAAATGGGAACTAAACAATTCAGGCACACAACCATAATTAATAAAATCAGACCCCATTCTTATAAATATCTCAAAAACATTCTTTACAACATCCTATAAAGTCTCAACAGATTATAAAGGAGAGGAAGAACTCAGATCAGCATCAGAAACAATGGTATACAGACAGCTCCAAAACAAACGAAAAAACCGGATCAGACAATTTTTGTACAAGCTCAAAACATGAGCAATCAAATTCATTAGGAAAGCACACTTTCCGTCTTTCACGCAGCAATACATGCCATCAATGCTTTTGGCCTAGAAAATCTTAAAATAGGTTAAAGCGGCAAAAAAATTATCATTAGATCGGATAGCCAAGCAGCTATTTAAGCATTAGTGTGTAAAAGAATAACATCAAAATGAACACATCAGTAAATGAATGTATTTCTGAGCTGAAAAACACAAGCCTCGTGAATAAGTACAATTTGTCACCAAAAATTGTAAAATTGGTTAATGGCTATTTTTTAAACTAACTTTATGATTGCACAAAAGTGAAATATTTAGAACTTGGTCATTTGGTTTCGGTTTCATTACTCGGTCTTGCTCAAATTCAGCTTAAAATGCAGTTTACTATAAAAAATTATTAAATTAAGCTTACCAAAAATTTGTGCAATTAAAAAATCTGTAGTATTGTTGTTTGATAAGTTACTTTCCAATACATTTTTTAAATGATTTAAGATTGACATTAACAGCTTTTTTATGCCTGCATTTTGTCAATCAATGTATTCACTCTTTGAAATTTAATTATATTTTTGTCTATTTACTCAAATGAACTAGTTTGGGTGTAGATCTAAACTTGAGAACTGCTGGTCGATCTGTACATCCTTACAAATAAATTAGCATAAAATATTTTGATTTGAAATTTTGTGAATTCACTCATGATTTTTTTTCCAGAAGTTGTTGGCTTGCGTGGCTCTCCTGACTACAAACATGTCTCTCTCAGATGGGAGTATCCAAGGTACGGAATTCCTGTTTATGGTTTCCAGGTCCATTACTGCGAACTGCAAGCATGGGGACCGAACCGCTGCAAGACAAAGGTAGTTAATGTTAACTTTGGATGTTTCTCCGTGTTGTTCTCTTTGGACTAAAATATGGCAGTTGTCAACCATTTTGGTCAGTCTATCCTTGCTGGATTGGTCTGTCAGACATTTTTTGGCCATCTACAGTGTGTCTGTTGAATGTGAACCCAGTGAGGATATGCAGACCAAAATGATTAGTAACAACCAGGTCAAATTTCAGTTATTGTGTACCTTGATTTGCTTTAGAGACTCTAATAATAATTTTAAAAAATTCTATATTTCCTTAGCTTGTCGAGAGCTCAGGCGTTATAGAAGAAATGGGTGTACCGACCAGTTTCAAGTCGTATGCAGTGGTCATTCACGGACTGCGCATGGCTACAAATTACTCGTTTAGCGTTCGACCTCTTGAGACAAGAAAGACAAGATATCTTGTTGATAAATTTTCTCACTCAACGATATTCCTCGCTACAAAAGGCTGTAAGTGGTTTTATAAAATTTTGTGATTTTTTAAAAACTAACGTGTACTATTAGTTTCAGCACGTGCGGTCTTGTGCCTTCCAGACAGAAGTGAAGTCGAGGTGTCGACAGGGCCGCATTTTTCAGGTCGGATCGCAGTTGAAGGCGCACTTGGAGAAGAGTGCAGTCTAGAAGGGATTCCGTCTTCACCTAAAGAATCTTACCTCATGAGGATCAGCCATTCAGAATGTGGGTCAGAGACAAACTCAACTGCTGTCGCTACATTCATCCTCGTACAGGAGAATCTTCCGATACTGACGCACAGTACAAGGAGATTCCTCGTTGTTTGCACATTTCATCCAGAAACACTAACAGTCAGAGCCGGGTAAGGTCTTGTTTTCTCCTTATTTATTGAATTAATTTAATGGTCTTTTTATTTATAAAATCTACAGGTTGAACTTGCCTCATACCAGTCATGGATCTGTCGAACCGCAGACAGAAGGAGAAAACCACATTTCTGAAGTATCTAGTAATGAAGTCATCGCTTCTCCTCTTCAACAAGTCGAATCAAGAGAATTCAAAGGTCTTAGTTTATTATGTTTTATTTTTATTTAACAAAATTCATGAATTTTGAACCAAGTTTAAATACTAAAGTTTTAGTTCAAACAAAATAGAATTAATCTGTTGTTATTTGTTACAGAAGAAGATGAAGCGCAAGTGGTGATAACAACGGTTGCCATAATAGCAGGACTCGTCGGATCAGGCCTTGTCATATGGTGGTTTGTCCCTCTGCAAAGAAATTCTGACAGTGAGTCCATACTGAGTAGAGAATGCAGCCCTTCAGACCTCGACAACTTTGAAAATACTGTGAGGGATGGTGAAATTACCGAATCTGAAAGAGCGATGGGAGGTGCGTACAACACCGTCATGAGGGATAGATTGGCCTCAGGTGAAATGTGCATTACGCTCGACAGCCAAGCGGCTTCAGAGGCATAAGCGAGACAACTGTCGCCCTAGCCAAAATTCGACTGACTCCACTTACTCATCTACTGTGATTAGAAACAATTACTCTCAAAAATTTGGCGTCTTCCTTCAAAGAATTTGTCAGGGCATCGTTTTTCTTTTATTATCAATATTGGGAAATGTGATATCCTTTATAGTACTTTATTTTATGCCTATGGAAACAATTTCACAGGAGAGAAGACTGATCTCTCAATTTTTACTCCTGGTATTAGTTTTTAATTTTCCATTTACTATTTATATCTTGTAAATAATTTATTAATACATTTGTTTTTAATTGACTTTTATTTATTATATATGAATGTACATAAAGTGTTCAAATTTCATTTAATTCATTCAAATTCATCTTTTTGGAAATTAAATTCACCTTTTCGCAAATAAATTTACCCCTTTTGGAAATTAAATTCATGGTTTTGCAACTCAATTTCAGCTTTTTAAAAATTAAATTCACATTTTCAAATCAGTTTTAACCTTTTGAAAATTAATTAATCTGTTTGCAAATTTCTTCACCTTTAGCTAATTAATCCACCTTTTTGCATATTAATTTACACTTTTGCAATTCGATGTCAAGCTTTGAAAAATTAATTCACATTTTTGCAAATTTATTCACACTTTTGCAAATCGATTTCAACCTTTTGAAAATTAATTAATCTTTTTACAAATTTATTCACACTTTTGCAAATTAATACACCTTTTTGAAAATTAATTAATCTTTTGTGAAAATTAATTCACACTTTCGTAATTCGATGTCAACCTTTGGAAAATTAATTCACCTTTATGCAAATTTATTCACACTTTTGCAAATTAATACACCGTTTTGAAAATTAATTAATCTTTTGTGCAAATTAATTCCCACTTTTGCAATTCGATGTCAACCTTTGGAAAATTGATTAATCTTTTTACAAACTTATTCACACTTTTGCAAATTAATACACCTTTTTGCAAATTAATTAATTTTTCATGCAAATTAATTCACACTTTTGCAATTTGGTTTTAATCTTTGGAAAAATAATTCACCTTTTTGCAAATTAATTCACACCTTTGCAAATCGATTTCAACCTTTGGAAAATAATTCACACCTTTGCAAATCGATTTCAACCTTTTGAAAATTAATTCACCTTTTTGCAAATTAATTCAGTTTTGAAAATTAATTTTATCCTTTTACAAATCATTCACCCTTCTGCAAATGCTAGTGTGCCAAATATGAGTCAGCTGCCAAAACCGCTCATCCCTTGTCACCCCCCCCCCACAAAGTTACAATTTCACATACAAATATACACTGCTGATGTTGATTTTTTAAAAAAAATAATAATAGGGAAGAACAAATCAAATGTAATTGCACTAAAATATACAAGTTACAGTTTTATTTACAAAAAAAACAACTAATAATGAAGAAACATTATTTACGAATTATAATAAAAAGCAAATAACATTTTAAAAACTGAAGGGTTGTACTCTTGGAGGACATAAATTCCATTTATGACATCGCACGTTTCAAATAAAGACATTTTGGGATGGATCCAGAAAAAATTCCTCTTCTCTGTCTTTGAATAGCAAGAAATCGTGTTGAGCTGAAAGACAAGAAAATTAAAATCTTTCGAATCCGTCTGTATGCACTGGACTGTCACAGGCTCTGGAAGGTCCTCAACATCTCCATATTTGTATCTAGCTTGTGCTACAGCGAAGGCATACGCTTTCATAAGCACCCTCGAATTTATCTGATCTTCGGTGGGATCAATGTCATAAACATTGCTAACTTCAGTCGGATTGTAATGAACTAAAGCCGTATGAATGTTCAACTCCTGTCCTGCATTAAGGGCTAAATGCAAAACAAACAAATTAAACAAGGCAAGTAAAATTATTTGTAATACTTACGAAAGAAACTTTCTGACGCTGATAATTGTTTACTCTTCACTAATGATACAGTTTGTACACAAGGATAAATATCAGGAAGTCCTGCTTTTAAAGCTTCATCTAAAACATCTCTATCAACTGAACCTGATGGCGGCTCCAAAGGTGTTTTGCTGAGGATCAAAGCATCTGCTCTGAGATTAAGCACGACTTTGTCGCCCTCACGGGTAAACGGCACTGAAAACTCTGATGTGCTTAAAATCCTTCTGTGGTCCAAAAGCTGAGGGCTTAATGAAACACACAGCTGTAAAAGCCTATTTCCCAAGAGAAGGCTTAAAAAAAAAATAAAAAAATAAATTACCTTGAAATTAAAAAAATAAATAAATAAATAAATACTCACTTTTTTCTGCAATCAGTGATTCCATAATCTCTCGGAAAATTCCAAGCTGGCCTCTCAGGGTCTTTCCTTTTTGGTAGCTTTTCTTGATAAGCATCAAACAGCAATGATGATCTTATACACCTAAAATAATCAAGTCAATTTAGAATAATAATTTTAAACTAATAAAAAATTATTATAAAATAGATTTTAATTTACCTTTTAACAAGTTTGTCTTGTGTTAGAAGGAGATCAGTCGGCTGCGTCTTGAATACGGACAGTGATTCATGGGGCAGCTTGACTGCATTGCAGAATACTTGAGCTTGCTGCAATCCCCCGATGAGTAGATTTTTGTCGCTATATGACAAGTAAGGCTCTATCTCGTCTGAAGGAAACTCTATCCTGTATCCTTTTGGTAGAACAAATCTAAAAAAAAAAAAAAAAAAAAAGGGTCCAATCAATGGGTTACTTCTTGAGACTTCGATCATCTGCTCCACGATGACCTTCTCAATACCACCAAAAATTCCAAATGATTAGTAAATTACATCAATGTCTTGCATAAAATATTACTCCCATAATCTTTGTGCAGACGACTCCCAAATTTACCTTTCCTTACTGACTTAGAAACAGCAATTGTGAGAATTCAGGAGAACTTAAAACTCAATTAGCTCCTGGGCCGGTGACAATGGGCTTAACCATAATATAGAAAACTAAATAGACATCTGAAGAAGAATGGTATAACCCGAAACAGCAAATGCAGATTCTGCAAAGAAGCAGAGGAAACCAACACACCTTCTAACAAACCGTGGTACTACACTTGCCCGCAGGAGGAAGTGTTTTAGGATATACAATGTATCCGTAAAAGAAATTCAACCACTGAAATCGGGCCTACTAATCAAGTTCCTTGACTAGGTCTCACCGGTATGCTATAAGCACAGAACGAGGGATACAACAGCTTTTTTTTTTTTTTGCCTTATGGTCTAGCATATTGGCCAAATCTCTAAACTTCAAGTTTGAAATGTTTACTTTTGTTGTATTATATTACTATATTATTTTGGGATAGAAGCTTAGAGAGAGAGAGGAAATTATTTTGGGATTGCGGGTAAAAGAGAGTATAACGGATATGGAGGTAGGAATATTGTTTGAAATTAGAGAGTTGTAGAGGGTCTCTCGGTTGATGGAGGTATTGGGACAGGCTAGTAGAATATGGTTGGAATCAGCTATGCATGAGGGGTCGCAGGAAAAGTGTGGTGTGTCTAGGATATTTATTTTATATAGGTGGGAGGGAAGACAATTGTGGTTTAGGCGAAGCCGAATTATAGAGGTGAGGGAATGGCGAGGACTATTGTAAGATCGGAACCAAGAGAAGGTAGGAAAGGTTGGATGAATTTATAAAATTTCTCTTTTGTGCTGGCGAAGTATTCATTTTGCCAACGGAGCCTGCAGTAACTGTTTATGTGAGCTCTAAATATCTATGGGAGATAAGAGACAGGGAATGCCAGTGGAGGCCGCAGCCGTGGCCAGCCTGTCTGTTTCATCATTAAATTTGTTGTTACTGTGACCTTTAGCCCAAATTATGTGCACTACGGTGCCTCTATTGGTGGCGTAATAAATGGGATATTAAGGGGTGGTTGAAATGGCGGATAGGACACTTTGACTGTCAGAAAAGATAATTAGATTATGAGGATTAATTGATTGGGCATATTTTAGGGATTCTAAGATTGCTAGAGCTTCAGCGGTGAAAATGGAGACAATGAAGTTTGAAGAGAAGGAACTAGCTGGGATATGAAAAGCTGCGTCCACACCGTTGTCGGATTTGGAACCATCTAAGTGGCTAGAGCCTCTTCTTTATTCTGGTCTACCTTCATAACGAATAAATCTTTCGTCTTTTACAACAGCTTTTAAAAGGCACAGTATAATACCCCCGATTAATACTTCTAACATATATTATGGAAAATAAACAAATAAATACAAGTTTTTGGTTTTTCATCTTTGAATGTATAGAAAAAAAAACATTTTGATCTAAATTTCCTGTCATATGGTAATGTGAATCTTGCAAAAGGATTCAGATCCTGTCAGCAATGTTGCTATTTAAAAATTAATAATGTCAGTAGTACTTTGATTGAATATAAAGAAATATTATTTGCATTCTATAAATTCACCTTTTTCCACATCCTACTTGTTTTTGTTAAATTTAAACAATGTTCCCAGGCCTTGAAGATGATCTCAATAAAGATCACACCAGATCGCATCTCACGATTTCTGAATAATCATTGACAAACGATCACTAACCACCACACAAATGTCAGTAGTTTATGAACATATAATGTTATAGAAGAATGATTAATGCTTAGGTTGAATACACAACAAGTTTGATCTAAAAGGAATGGGCCTTCCGTCAAGGATCTTCCGTTGGTACAGCGGAGATGATACAAAAAGGTGCAGGAATATTTAACAGTCAAAACCTGACAGTCATAATGCCATCAATCCAATTTGAACTGAGGATGCAGAAATAGTTGTCATATGGTTACAGTGCTGAATTCAAGGTGTTGACTGTGGAATACTGTTGGAAATTTTATTACTTGATGTCGAAGTGTTGCAATGCCTTTGACACAAAGAATATACCTACTTGTTTTCCTTTGGTTCACTGACGACGTCGAGAGGGTCTTCGTACTCGATGCCCTTCTCTCGCAGAACTTTGAGAGCTCCGGTCGGCGCGACCGTTCGTTTCTTCTGGACTCTCCAGTGTTCCCGGAACATCCACCCTGCGTGCTGCTGGAGAAGAACGGTACCGCGCCGCATTTTATCGCGTTCTTCAAAATTTCAAAGACGAGGTAAATAAGATGTTTAAAAAAAAAAAGCTGAAGAAACCTCTCTCAAAAGATACACATGCGTGCGATGTATCGGCCGTTGGATCGATTCAGCCTGATCAACAATGATCTTTTTGAAGTTAACCGATATCTGTGCTGTTTTGTGATGAAAGAGCTGTGTTAGATTAAAGATTTAAACACTTTTTATTATTCTCATTATTCAAACTACAATTTTTAACAATTCAAGCATTTTTTTCCAAAATTAAAGATCCCACACTAATAACAAATAAATCTGACGTAATCTACGAGATCAACTGTTTAAACTGCCGGCAACTTACATAGATCTTACATCCCAATATCTGGACAAGGGAGTAAAGCAACATATCTACGATTGCAAAAAACCCAAGCAAAATCCTACAGCACTCGTTACCCACCATTTTGAACACCAATACAATTTTGACTTCAAAAATCCAAAAATATTACATACAGAACAAAACAAACATAAACGTAATTTCTTAGAAATGTTTAGACTTCAAAAATCCAAAAATATTACATACAGAACAAAACAAACATAAACGTAATTTCTTAGAAATGGTTTACATCAACAGAGATAAACACAGCATCAATTACAGAACAGAAACATGTAAACTCAGTCGCAGCTACTCCAATATCATTAATCAAATTCAATATAGATAACATACATCATACTCAAAGTGTTTGATTTCTGTGTAATTGTGTGTTATCGATAACATACATATATCATTACATCACACAAAACACATATTATAACATATAAAACATTCATCACATTCCACACATCAAACATTTTTCACATAGTCTAATTTTTCAACAATTTAGCTTTCCTTTTCCTATTTAACCCCTTCTATATAATCCTGAAAGGATAATCTGGCCGAACCATTACTAATGTTTTTTTCCCTTCGTCGGCTCTTCAAAGAAGCCGAATCCTTACACAAAAATGTCTTTCTATACAGACTTCCTTCCTCACTCCTTCAAAATCCAACGTATATAAACATAAAACAGCAATATCTCACTGGCATTCTCAACACGACACGCAAGAATGGCACAATTACACAGAAAACAAACACTTTGAGTGAGTAGAAATACTTTGATAATATAAAAAATATTTTTGCATTGTATAAATTCGCTTTTTTCCACATCCTACATGAATTTGTTAAATTTAAACAATGTGTGTAAATCCCAGGCCCTGAAGATGATCTCAATAAAGATCGAAACGTTGACACGATAAAGAGAATGTTTTTCTGAAACCTACATCACACCAGACCGCATCTCACGATTGAGATCATCTTCAGGGCCTGGGATTTACAAACATTGTTTACATTTAAAAAATACATGTAGGATGTGGAAAACAAAAAGAAAAAATGAATTTATACAATGCTAGAAATTTTAGATTCATTCAAAGTAATTGAACTCACTCAAATTGTTTGTTTTCTGTGTAATTGTGCCATTCTTGCGTGTCGTGTTGAGAGTGCCAGTGAGATATTGCTGTTTTATGTTTATATACGTTGGATTTTGAATGGATGGGGAAGGAAGTTGATATAGAAAGACATTTTTGTATAAGGTCGGCTTTTTTGAGGTGAAAAGAGCCGACGAAGGGAAAAACGTTGGTTATGGTTCGGCCAGATTATCCTTTCAGGATTATATAGAAGGGGATAATTTTTCAACAATTTAGCTTATCTTTTCCTGTTTATCCCCATAGTTATATACCATAGTATAATATATAACTAACATAATTGAGGGTTGATGGGGTATTCAATATTCCACCAGCCTAGTCACACTACACATTTACGCCAATAAATACATTCATTCTCAACACACTCTAGGAATTCAATACATATGTCAGTACTATATATACAATGAAACAACCCCGATTCCCCCAAAAATTGGAACAGGGAACCCAGATACTGATTGTCATGCTCAAGGACAATTTTTAAATTGAGTGGCATTCCTACGCGCGGCCATGCACTATAAAATTTAGTGATTTTGTAATATTATTGAGAGGTTTCTGACTATCATCAGTGGTGGGTCTTTGTTATTCTGTCAGTGTGTCTTTTATACATCTGTGGAAAGTTATATGAATATCATCGTCCTATGGATTAAGGGTGTGGTAACCTAATTATCTAAAAACCTTATTCTTTTTATATATATTATTTGTATTTTTACATATATTATTTATATTTTTTGTTATTGTAAAATGTCTTTTTTATAGTGGATTTCGATCTGTAAATAAATAACTAATCAGTCAATGGCCACGACCCTAATCCAAAAGAATATTATAGAGTAAAGGCAAGTGTGACAGAACTAGATAACGAACATCAACGATAATGATCAGAAATGGCCTAAGCTCTTGAGAGTATCTCACAATTTTAAAGCTATCCAATCATTCTAGGTTGAAATGGATGAGATTATATTATTATTATTATTATTTATTGGTTCAGTAGTTCAAAAATTATAATGGTTAAATATCACAAATAAAAAGTCACAGGTGTTTGCCCATTAAAATACTACCTAGAATATAACAACTGGTAAACCTTTGTGACTAGCTGACAGTAGCAAATATCTTGTTTTGGTGAATCAACTAGTTGGATTTAGCATTGTAACTTTTTGAGTTCTATATGCTTAATAAAATGCTCAAATTGCTAACAAAGATTGGACTACTCTGTTATGTTTAAAGCATTTCTTATTTATTTTCTGCCATTGCTACATTCTACATTTTTTATAATCAAATTGAAATGTACTGATAACGAACAATGCTAGTTCGCCTCAAGCTCAATTTTTTATAAATTTTCATTTGTACATTTACAAAAGTTTATATTGTTTGGAGTTTCTTTTATAAAAAAAAGAAAAAAAAATTGTACGAGCGTTCACTATAAAAAGGAAATTCAGAAAACAAAAAACATACAAATATGAAACTTTACATCTGTAGTTTTTTTTAAATGAATTTTGATTATGACTATTTTTTGTATTTTATAATATCACACAACATGTAATGTTGCACATCCAAATTTAAGTTTACCGAATAAACTTTCCCGCTGATACATGTAAGCTATTTAACGAAGAATTTCAAGAAGAGACCAGGTAAGATTTTTAAACAACAAAATCAGTTGTTTTTGTTTTTTTGTGTTTGACAAATAATGCCAAAAATGATGTTTATATTTTGTACAAATATAGCAGGTTTTTATAAACCTTGTATTAAAGTTATATAAAAAAGCTTTATTTCAGACTGCATTACGACTGTCGTTAATATAACTTTTGTTTAGATGAATAAAAAAACAAGTTTATAATTGAAGAGTGTATTTATTTGAATTCAACATGAAATCCCTCTCGCTTTATGTACTTTTACTGCCTGCTTTTTACTCCGCCTATGCTATAACATGTTTTATATCAAAATGGTGGTACAGAGCAAAATCAAAGAGGGCTTCACTCAAACCGACTAAATTGTTTGAGACACTCTTTGAAAACCATATATCGTAAGCATCTGAGGAAAAATCCACAATGTTATGAATTTTCAATTTAAAAAAATCACAATTTTTCAGTGAAGTCTTCACAAATCAGAGTTTAGCTACGTTAACAAAAATAAAAGAGCAAACAATAAAATCATTGTGTAAAAAACCACCTGAACCTCTTCTTCTCGTCTTTCTGGCACCCTCAGAGGCAAAATCAACCGCTATAACACTGGCAAAAAGGCTTGTTCAGGTTAGTTTTGCTCTGCTGAATAATTTTGATCTTTTTTTTTTTAAGCATTAGAGGTTTTTTAAAGATCACGCTGACTTCAAAAAACAAAATGTCATTGCCATGGTCGGCCACAGACAGACTCCTTATGAAGGGTTCGGCTTTTGCAAACATAACTTCACCTTGGAGATTTTACGAAGTGATCAAGGAGAAGATTGCCACCAACAGTCATCTGATTATAACTGAGTTTGAAATGATTCACCCTCATTCAGCTGCTCTTCTTATTTTTATGTCAAAAGAGCTTTTCTTTCCTGAAAAAGAGGTATTTTCATACATTTAAACAAAAATCTTAGGGTTATTAACTAAACAAATTCATCAACTAGGTTCATTTATATCTGATTGTTGAAATACCGTCCATCCACTTGTCGAATACAGTAAACGCCCTAAACCACTGGATGAAAACAAGGCTTGTTTCTCACCTGGAACCGGAACTCCTTCAAGAAACACAAAGGGCGCTTTATTTACGAACTTGCCTTATAAAATCAGAAGACGTCAGTGTTGTGGAATAAAGCAAATATTACTCAAATGTATAGAACCTTTGGATTTATTTATTAAAATTTTGTTGCTGTCTCAAAGAATTATATTCACCTTTAGCTATAGTTATTATAGCGATGTTTATTGCAAAATGTACATTGCCATTTGGGCATCTGCCTGTATAATATAATATAATCTACTAGATTTTTCCAATTCCAATGTAAATCATAATTTGTTTATTTGGAAATTGATGCATCTTTTTGTTTTTTTCTTCTACTGCTACTAACCTCATTTCCTCCAATCTGTCTGACAGAACTCTGTTAAGAGAGTTAAAGCTATCCCCTCTTCTCTCTCAATGTCAGCTGGTGTACTCCCCAAGGCTCTATTCTTGGGCCTTTACTCTTTTCCATGTTTCTAGATGATCATCAATTAGTTCTTAATTTCTCCCAATTTCAACTTTATGCCGATGGCACTCAGCTTTACATTCAATGTCCCACAAGCAACATCTCTGAAGCTAACTCTCTGCTCAACTGTGGTCTTCATTCTCTCAACCAATGGTCAACTAATAACGGCATTCTTTTAAGCCCTAACAAATCCCAGTCCTTATTAATTTCCAATAAACCCATCTGTACAGATTGCCTATCCCCTCGTCATATCAACAGCTCCCCTATTAATTTTTGTCTTAAATGTGTGGTGATTAGTGACCGTTAATCGATAATTATTCAGAAATCGTGAGATGTGGTGTGGTGTGATGTAGGTTTCAGAAAAACATTTTCTTTATTGTGCCAACGTTTCGATCTTTATTGAGATCATCTTCAGGGCCTGGATTTACAAACATTGTTTACATTTAACAAATACATTTAGGATGTGGAAAAGTGAATTTATACAATGCAAAATATATTTTTTATATCCAATCAAACTATTTCTACTCACTCAAAGTGTTTGTCTTCTGTGTAATTGTGCCATTCTTGTGTGTCGTGTTGAGAGTGCCAGTGAGATTTTGCTATTTTGTGTTTATATACATTCTATACCAACTTCCTCCCCCACCCCTTCAAAATCCAACGTATATAAACATAAAACAGCAAAATCTCACTGGCACTCTCAACACGACATGCAAGAATGGCACAATTACACAGAAGACAAACACTTTGAGTGAGTAGAAATAGTTTGATTGAATATAAAAAATATATTTTGCATTGTATAAATTCACTTTTCCACATCCTAAATGTATTTGTTAAATGTAAACAATGTTTGTAAATTCCAGGCCCTGAAGATGATCTCAATAAAGATCGAAACGTTGGCACGATAAAGAAAATGTTTTTCTGAAACCTACATCACACCAGACTGCATCTCACGATTTCTGAATAATTTGTCTTAAAGTTAAAAATTTTGGTGTTAGTTTTAATTCCAAGCTTACATGGCATGACCGTGAGAGTTCTATTACTAAAATGATCTATTCAAGCCTGTATTCTCTTTGATGCCTCAGCTTTTTCATTTCACAGAAAACGAGAATTCTTCTTATTAAATCCCTAATAATTCTTCATTCCCTTACTGTAGTGCTATTTTTTTTTTCACTTTTATTAGACTCAATCTGCTGATCGCCTTCAAAATGCTTATCCTTCCTTAGATACTGTTATGATCTTAAACCAAGGGATCATATTTCATCCTATATTAATGCCTTCATCAACCTTAAGATTCTGAACACTTATAAACTTGGAGTTTTAATATATATATTTAAAACTAAATCAAATAAATGTCCTCAGTATCAACTAATTTCCCTCATTCCTTATCCAAACGCACCAATCATATCCTGAGCCTTCAACACTCTTCTAAACTTTTAGACTTATCCTTCAGAATTGCAGGGTCAAGACTTTCAAGAATTTGCTTCCCTGAACCTTGGAAAGTACATTCTGGCTTCCACGCAGGGTTTGTCTCAAGTCCATGGGAGCTGAGTTTTTAAAAACGACTTGAATCATCTTCCTTTCTTCCCTCTTCCTTTTCCTTTGTTTCTCTTTCTGCTTTTCTTTCAAAATGAGGTTTTATCATTCAATTATAAATAATTAATATTTTTACAATATATTATTGTCATTATATTTTTGTGTATTTTATTATATGTTTTATTATTAGTGCTGTTATTATTTTATTATGTTTATAAAACTTAATTTATTAATAATATAAATACATGGAAGGGGGCTTAAAGCCCTATTTGTAAAATTAAAATAAATAAATAATTAAAGAAGTGATGAAGGAAAATTTCATGGTGAAAATTGGTGGGAACATGGAGTCGGCAATCATCATCAACTCTCTAGGGACGAGATAATAAATGAAATCGGTTTTGAATAAAAAATAAAGGCTAAATATTTTTTTAATTTTAAATGCGTTGGAAAAGAATTGGATAGTTTTAATTTCAAAATACGCGAAATGGTCCCCACTTTAAATGATAAGGGATTTGTGTCAATACTGCGCATTGATAAAAATCGAGAGATCGAGATTCGAGTCAGTGAGTTGCGAGTCGCTTCGAGTTCGAGTTCGAGCCTGGCCTGTTCGAACTTCAGCTGATGGTCCGTCTGCGTTGGATAAACCTGGCTCGATAACTCTCCAAAGAAGGCTGATCGAATCGGGAAGAGTTCTGCACAGGATTCGCCCACGGACAACGATGAACTTCAACGTCGACCTGAAGAAAATGGTCCGGGACGCCGGGAACGTCATGAACAGGATGGTTCAGGTGGGTTTGACGACGTCCGCCCTTCTCTGGGATCAAAAGAGGCACAGAAATCACGGGCACCTGATGATATTTGATTGTGCTTCCAGTTGACGGGCGAGAAGTTGGGCACCTCGGAGAAAACGGAGCTGGACGCCCACTTCGAAAACTTGGCCGAGAGGTCCGACACGACCAAGACGTGGACAGAAAAAATCCTCAAAGACACGGAATCCGTCTTGACGCCAAATCCAGGTGAGAAAGTTTTGTTTATTTTTTTTACAGTTTGTGAGGAGTGGCGGTCGTGGAGCGGAAGCCGTGAGAGTGACGTATCGACGTGAATCACTTTCAAAAACCACACAACTTATTGACATTTGTGATCAATAATTTCAATTACTAAGTAAATGAATTAAATTCTTACTCCGTTTTCACCCTTAACATTTTTTTACAAGTCTTATTAGTGTAATTTACGTTTTTCAGACATTTTTAAAATAATTACGGTCGAAGTAAATAATACATTTGAAAAAGATATGACGGTGGTGGACCATGGATTCTCTCATCGTGCACATAATTTAAGTTGGATTTTGATTTGGACGTTGTGCCAGTTGCACAATTCGAATTTGATCCGAACATTTTGCCATTTGCACAATTCTACCCCAAACCGCTCTCTAAAGGACCAGTTGTAGCAAGAATCTCTCACCGAAGTAGGATTGGCAGGAGGATTGAAAAAAATTCAATTTATTATCCCTAGTAGTATCCCTGATAGTAGAAACACACGACAACGATGTTTCTTCAAACATTGAATTATGTCGTGCAATTTATTTTTAAGGTTTGCTGGGTGATGATCCCGTAGGTTGGGTGTTTGGTGTTATCATTGTCGGCATCGATGGGGATATGCAAAAACATTTTTGACTGACGAAACCAGCTAGGCTAGGATTGTCAGGAGTATTGAAAAAAAAGTTTAATCCTACTTTTTTCTCATTTTTAATTATCAGAAGTAGTCAACTCTGGTTCTGCTATAATACACAAGGACTATTTGGGGCAAGAATCTCTCACCGATGTAGGGCACAAATGTGTTTTCAATTTATTATCTCCTGTTAGTAACTCTGATAGTAGAAACACACGACAACGATCATTCTTCGAGCATTGAATGACGTCGTGCAATTTATTTTTAAAGTCTGCTGGGTGATGATTCATAGGTTGGGTGTTTGGGGTTATCATTGTCAGCATCGATGGGGATATGCAAAAACATGTTTGTCTGATGAAACCAGCTAGGCTAGGATTGGCAGGAGGATTGAAAAAAAGTTTAATCCTATTTTTCTTTCTCATTTTTAATCTCAGAGGTAGTCAACTCTGGTTCTGCTATAACACACAAGGACTAATTGGGGCAAGAATCTCTCACCGATGTAGGGCACAAATGTGTTTTCAATTTATTATCCCTTGGTAGTATCCCTGATAGTAGAAACACACGACAGCGATGTTTCTTCGAACATTGAATTATGTCGTGCAATTTATTTTTAAGGTCTGCTGGGTGATGATCCCGTAGGTTGGGTGTTTGGGGTTATCATTGTCGGCATCGATGGTGATATGCAAAAACATGTTTGACTGACCATACCAGCTAGGCTAGGATTGGCAGGATTGGAAAAAAGTTTAATCCTATTTTCCCTTCAATTTTCAATTCTCCAAGGTAGTAGTCAACTCTGGTTCTGCTATAATACACTACACTTAAGTTGGATTTTGATCTGGACATTGTGCTAGTTGTACAATTCTCCCCCAAACCACCCTCTAAAGGACCAATTGTAACAAGAATCTCTCACCGATGAGGGTGCAAATGTGTTTTCAATTTATTATTGTTAGAAACACAACACAATCTTTGTACGAGAATTGGATGATGTTGTGCAATTTATTAAAAAAAGAAAAAAGTTAGTTAGCTGCAATCATATAGTTTTAGAAAAATTTTAATTGAAGAATTCAACTTTTAGTTAAGAACTTTATTTTTCTATTTTTATTTTTAAATTTTGTTTTATAAACACGATTGAGTCAACACTCCTACAGACCGACATGGTCCATGTAGTTTGGTTTTAATGCTTTGTAACAAAAAGATGTTTTGTATTATGAATATTAATAAAATTTATTATTATTATTAGTAGTAGTAGTAATTTTAATTCTGGCTGTTGATTGGATAGTCTATTCTCATATTTTTCAAAACTCCTCGTCAGTCAGTGTCCTTTTAATAAGTAATTGTATTTTCATAAACTATATGCTGATTTGTTACAAACCAAATCCAAGCTTCGCTGTTATCGTACGCCCATTTTTATTTGTTTGAATAAGCAAATGTATTGGTTCTGATTATGAAACGAAAACCCGGATTTGGTCGGCTGTTGTGTAATTTAATATCCATGTCAATAGAACAAATGGGAATGAATTCATAAACACGATAGTACAAACAGTACAAAATATTAAATACAATTATGTAAATTGACTGTTAATAAATGGATCAAAATTTTTATTTTTATTTTCCAGTGATGTCCAGGCTGTATTTCATGGTGGCCTTGTCCGATTTCCCATCCTTGTTGACTTTGATTGTCTCTTTTATGTCAAAAAAAATTTTTTTTTAGTACTTCATAACAAAGGCCAATGCATCTTCTAAAACCCCAAATTTCTCTAATTTTGGAGCTTTTTAAAGTTATATTTATGTTTTGCTCTATTCTTAATAATAAAACCTATTCATATTTCTTCTTGACCTGCATTTGTCAAAATTTAAAGTTTTTTTTTTTTGCTGCTCTTTGTTAAACACTTCGATTGATTGAACAAAAGTTCGTTTACTTTTTTAAATTACATGTGCACTAATTTTGATATAGTTTCTATGTACACGTAAATAAAAAAGAGGAACTCCTCAGTGGTAGGCACTGAATTGGTGTTAATCACTCTCACTGTCATTTAGGTGATCATGAAGCCAGTGACGATTCAGTCATCAGAGATGGTTACTTGGAATGGTGTGGGATGAAATATTTCCGACAGGATAATTATTTCTGAAATTTCCTTTAACGTTATGTTTTGAAGGGTAAGATTATTATCGATAAATATAAAGGAACTTTGACAATAGATAGATAGATAGATATACATACTTTATTTACAAAATGAAAGAATTTAGAGTTAAAAATAAAAAACAGTATTATTATGTCATAGTATTAAGACCGTCAGCCAGAGTTCGGAGTGCATTATTATACCAAGAATATACATAATTATGTAATTATAAGAAAAGGAGAATTAACAATATCAACTTCAGAGGTTACAATTATTTACAGGATTTTCAAATTACAAGATTGAAATGCGATAAACTTTTAAAATAATAAAAATGACACTTCAAAGAACCAAAGCAAGGATTCCAACTCACAAAAGGTCCCCCGCTGGCAATCTAAATTTGCATTTAGAAGCCCACAAAGTAGAAATTATATGTATTACCTGCGAGAGCAAAAACGGAAACAAAATAAGACGAACAGAAAATTAATTCCCTACATTCCAATATATTCATATCTGTAAAACCAGGTTTTACGAGCAAAATCAACAAGACGCTGGCAATCCAAGCCATTCAGAAGGGCTGTAAGCTCTTCCCTCTTCAGAAAACCCTTACCCACATATAGATACCTCAATTCGTTAAGGACCGAGCATCTAGCGAGAAAATGAAATGCCTCCTCACGATCACCTGAGTTGCATAGAGAGCACACTGCAGTGGCAGGAGTACCCAACCCAAGGCCTGAAATTCAGGAACAACTCCCCTCGAAACCACCAGCAAAAAAAAGAGAACGGAGCATCATTTGCTGGAGCAGAAAAAACATTGCAAGGAGTTAGGGAATGATTCAACTCCTTGTAGAGTTGAAATCTATTTCAATCCACGGCATGAGAAATACAACTCTCCCGATGTCAAACCCCCACAATATGAAGAAGATAAGAAAACATTTCAGATCACGCTTCAGAATTATCCAAATAGAACTGAGCCACATTATACCTCTCTGCAAGAGAATTCCAGGTTTTGAACCAGGATATTTTACCCTTAATAACCTCAAGTGAAGCTTTGACGGTGGTTCAGAGAATGCAAAATGCTGTTCTTAAGGAACTAAAATAAAAAGAAAAAAATAATCATGCCTGGTTGTTCTGACGAGTTTCCTCTATGTGTTCTTTGAGTCCCTCAGCATCTTCCTCTTTACCCCTCCTGCGGGGTACACTCCCTCATTCTTTATAACCAGGAGAAATTTGCCAAAGTACAGGAAATTAGTCAGGGGGGCCTGTCCTGCTGTTCCTTGCTTCTCCACGCCAGCCCGTCCTTCTCTCTATCACCTCAATGAGGCTTGAGTCACTCATCTCGCTGTCCTGTCCTCTGCATCTTACACCATGATTGTTTTTGACCTTCACCGTCCTCGCCCAACTTTCTGTGTGCTCTTATGTTTTAAGGAATCTCCTTTTATACCTGTCGTGGAAAAAAAAATTCTTCTCTGTTTTATTGTCTCATTACAAAGTCACAAAAAAATAAAATTAAAGAAATCCGTGTCTTTATTTAATTCTTTTATCATTGCGTTTTCTAGGATATAGAGTAGAAGATTTTCTGTTCGACAAAATTGATAAGAAGAGAAACAATAGGCTTAGCAATCTTGAGTACCTTGGGCTAGATATGGTCGAAGCCGGGAATGAATTCGGCCCAGGAACGCCTTATGGTAAGCCAAAGTCGTTTCCCTATTGGATTTAATCTTAAACGTAAGTTTCCTATTTAAGGTGGGGCGCTTCTAAAAGTCGGCCAATGTGAACAGAAACTCGGCAGGATAGAGCGCGAATTCATCTCGAACACAAACACTTGCTTCCTCACCCCATTGAGAAAGTACCTCGAAGGCGAAATGAAGACGATTGTGACCGAAAGGGGTGTTTTGGAGAGCAGGCGGTATGTCAATCGCCTTTTCTTTCTAATATTTTCTCTCACCAACCTTTGTCAGCTACCCCTTTTGAAAGTTTAAATTATGTAGTTGAAACCTGCAATATAAAGTTGAAAAAAAAAAGAAGATATATATTCATTATAAGGGTTTCAAATTTTTCTGCAGATTGGATTTGGACGCCTGTAAGAACAGAGTGCGGAAAGCGAGGAGCATGATCGGCCAGCCGACAGTAAGTATTTTTTAATTTTAATCTATCAGTTCTTTCGTTATTTGAACATTTGTGTTTAATACAAAAAAAAGCAATTTTAAAAAACAAACAATGTTATCATTGATTTTTTTTTTCTTTGTGCATGCGGCACAGGAAGGCCTAAGCCCTGAATTACTTCTACAGCAGGTAAAATTTAGAAATGACACTGTTCCTATTTTTATTGTCGTCATTATCCATTTAATCTAATAATAATGCGTAATAAATCTGTACAAATGTTTTTCTTGGGCTTTAGATTGCAAAAATGCTGTATTTTTTTTATATGTCTTAATTTTCTTTCTTCTTTTCTTCTGGTTATGTACAATTTTCTAAAACACTACATTGTGTTGTATAAGCTTGGCGATAAATCAACAGCCTATTTATATTTTAATAACATTTTAATTAAAGTTTGCATCTTGTATCGAATTTTTTGTTTTATTTTTAGGCTGAGAGGGACTTGAGAGTGGCCCAGTCAGAGTTCGACCGACAGGTCGAAATAACAAAACTATTACTCGAGAGTGTTAGCAGTTCTCATTCCTCACACCTGAGGTGCCTTAACGATTTTGTCGACGCGCAGTTGCTCTACTTCCAGCAGTGTGCCTCTGCTGTACAAGACCTCAAAAATGAAATGTCCAAGTGAGTCCGAAAAGTCCGAATTATTTAAAATATATAAAGTTGGAAAAAATGTTAAAATAGCTTTTAAGTAAGGTTGTACACTGAGGTAAGATAAATGTTTGCAGCGACAGAAGAAGTCCCGTAGTGAGGTTAAACAGCGAGGATATCAACTTGTCTGGCCCGGCTTCATTACAAGTCACTTCTGAATCTATGTCATTTATGTAGCTCCCTACATCCCGATTTAGTCTCACTAAACATTTTATTTTGATCTAACCCAATATACACTGCACTTAGTAGACATATTAGATTTTTTTTAAACCAGAAGAAAGGGAAGTAAAAAAGCATATCAGACAATTTGAAATGGTCGATTTTTTAAATTTTATTTTATAAATACATTTTGTCTTTTTTTTTTAAGTGGTGACAATATTTTTAAATTTGACGGATGTTCTATAGTCATTTTAGGGCGAAGGTGTTTTTGTAGCGCGTCGTAGATTTGATGTCATATGGAAGGGTAGTTTTTATCGGGCTTCCACAATCCAAAGTATTTGCCACTACGGTAGAATCTTGCTAATCCGGCTTATCGGGGCTTCGATGTGGCTATTATTGTGGATTATTGAGTATGCATGAATTTTCAACAAAATTAAAGGAAAACAAATATTAAAGATCTGGTTGAAAAGTGTAAATTATAAAATGCTATAATTTTTTGCTGTTTTTGATTTAAATGTCTCTTTAGAAATCATGTTAACACCAACAAAAAACATATCTTTCCCCATTATTAGCTCTAAAATAGAAACCGGTAGACTTTTTCTCACAATTACCAATGGAAAGAATTTTCACTTGTCTTTAAAATCTGCTCTAAGCATTTTCCAAATATTCTGAAAATATATTAAAAAAAAAAAACATGATTTATTCAAAGAACCAAGCAAAAGTTCCATTATGGTACTGCTTTTCTACTTGAAAAAAAAAATCTTTAGTTGTATCTTTTTTACTTTTATTATTAGAACTTGCACCACCGTCTGCAATAAATTAACATGGATAGCTGTGGCGAATCTTTTTAGACCCAATATTTTTTTTTAACTTAAAAACTACAATAATACTTTTTTGTTGAATAATGTTTATTTATGTAGTGTGTACATAAGAAACTTAAAAATAATTTTTTTCTGTGTATGCTAAACTTTCTTTTTACATTTTATAAAAAAATTAATGTGTAGTAATTAATATTATTTTTTCTTTTTTATATTATGTAATGATTTTTTTTAAAGATGTTTCCATGGGTTTTTTTAAAATAATTTTTTGTTTTATTTTTACATTAAATTTTGAGGACATTAAGGAGTTTACACCTATCATCAGCATCTAAATATAAAACAAAATATATATAACAAAACCACACAGAAAAATTAACTTTTTTTAAATTTATTTATTACCTAGCTATTGTGCTATGAATTTCCTACACAACTTGTACATTCCCATTTTTTGGTTACCGATGAATATTTGCAACATACGAATTGCTTGCATTTATCACTTGTGGTAAAATATTTATTGTCGTTGTCAGAGCAAAGACAATATCGGCCAACAAGAAAAACATTTTGTTGTTCCTATCTTCGAAATTCATTCAAAATATCATCCCTGCGAGTAAAAACAAAGTTAGCTATTTTGCTCATTTTCACGAGAGATTGATTACAAAGAGAAAATTGAAAGCTCTAGAGCAAACGGAAAAACTCAGGACAGTAGACTAAGGATAAGAGATTGGGGCGCAATTAGAAGGGCTAGCCCTTTTACCTACCTGACTGATTAAACTGACTTATATTAACAATTGTACTTGAAAGCAACCCAAAAATTTTGTACAGGAATAAACATTTTTTCTACAAAATGAGCAACAATTAAATTTTTATTCAAAATTTTCAAAGAAAGTTCAGGAAAGACCTAATAGAGTATATTAGAAGGTAGATTAAAAAAAAGAGATTGAAAAAAAATTCTCTGGATCTTGAAAGACTCACAACAGTGGTGCGAATGTTAGCAAAATGCTCTAAATATTTATTACAGTTTTTGTGTTCATCTTGATTTTCTCAGTGGCTGTAATAAATTATAATATGCGATTTTTTTGTAATTATTTATTTTTAACGGAACAGTTTGAAAATCAGAGATTAATTAGCAATAATAAGTTTTTGCCCTTAGAATTTTATTGTATTAATATAAATTTTCAAGAATCATCTAGACTATTATATTATTTTTATGTCGTCAGTTTAGGGTTTTCTCTTTTTGCGGCGAATTGAAACAATCATGTCTTGATTGTGTGAGGAATTGTATTATTTCCTGTTTATGGCTGTATTAGAATTTTAGTAATTCCCAGAATTACGGAGTAGCGTAAATCCAAAGCATTTCTGAATTTCATTTGTGATGAAGTACAAACTCTTGTGTACATAGATGTTTAGGTTAGGTCCTTAAGGAACCGGTTTTTTTAATTTTTTTTTTAACATTTCTATTAAATCTCTTAATTTTAAAAATAATGTTACATTTTTATTTTAAACAAAATTCCTATTAATTTTTCCTGTTATATTTTCATTTCAGAAGGAAGTTATTTATTTTTTGTTTTAAATGTATGGCACGTGATTTATTTATTGATAAATCTATTTATGTAGTAAGTATAGAAATGTCTCTTTCAAATAATTGTTAAAATATTTTGTGTGAGTCGTTTGCTTCATGTTCAATATGTGTTATAACCTAGGTTAAAAATCATACACTTCCATATTCAGCCACTTCTCCACCTTTTTTTTTGTTTTCCTTGCCGAAGAAATAGTTTTAGAAATCCCCAAACTTTTTTTTTAGTTATTTATTTTTTTATTTGTCCCAAATCAGGAAAATTATGATGGCAAAGGTCATTGTTGGATATGACGCGAGGAATGAAGAAGAACTCTCTTTGAGCGTCGATGAGGTTGGTGAATATTTAACAAAATTTATGAGTAAAAATAATTTTTTTTTAAATTTTCCAGGTTATAATGGTTGAAACGATATCAGAATCGGAAAAACAGTACGTGATAGGGAAAAAAGGAAATAAAAAGGGCAAAGTCCCACTTGCGTACCTTGAGATAATACAAACTGACTCGCAAACTTAATCTGGTCTTTGATCCATCATTAACTTCTTTTTGTTTATATTTAAATATCTAAGGAATCTCGAATTTTAGTTACGTTTACATTTTATTTATCCTACTAGGCTTAAGTACTTTTTCTTTTTAAATTATTTAAAAATCTATAAAGTATTATTTAATAACATAGTGATTATAAAAAAAAAATCAACTTTGTTGTAACATTTGAGACAATTATTATGAAAAAAAAGTGTAAATCATTTCAAGTTGAAAATTCGCTTGTCTTTCTAAATGTATTTACAATTAAGCTTGTATACGTCAATTTTCTCTCATCACAACAAAAAATAAGCTTTGTAGTTGTAAACATTAGAATCTTATATACGTAAAATGTGCCATCATTGTTAATAAAGCAAAAATATGTTTTTTTCAACATTGTCTCACATTTTTCTCAACGCTCTATGTTACTCATGCATTCCATTTGTCTGCGATGTCTTATAATATGGCACGATTAAAAAAAATAAAATAAAAATAAAATAATATAAAGCATAAAGACAGCAATAAAATGTTCAATTAGTCAAACACGTAAATGTATATTTATACATATACTTAAAGAAAAAAAATTGTTATACTGTTAGTGTTTAGATTATAAGAAAAATATATATGTTTAAACGATGTTTTGCTCTTTTCAATCATTACCAAATTTATTTATATGTTGTGAAAGTTGAATTATAATTTATTGATTTATAATTAATTGTACATTCATTATAATTTTTATTTTGTTTAAATGTGTTATTTTAAGATGTCTTATTGCATTAACAATATTCAATTAATTAAGGTTTTTAGTTGAGATAAAAAAGTCAGTGTCACGAGCGGGATTCGAACTCACGACCTTCGGCTTGATACCACTTGAGCTATCGTGACTTCAATCCACTCAGGCACTAACTTTCCATCTCAACCCCACCTTTTTGAATTTTCCCTCCTTTTTTGCCATTTTTCAAATGTGTTATCTATTTGATTCTCGGCGACAAATTAAATGGCAACGGAGAGTGTACGCTTATGTTATTTTAGAAGTATTTATAAACAATAAATATTTAGGGTTGAAAAGAGAAATCACACTTTGCGTCTTTTTACATTACATTTTATTTTAGGGTAATAATTTTCTTCTCTTGCTACAGTTTCCCTACTGATAAGCAAGATGGCAGCATTATCTAAAAAAAAAAAAGACGCCTGAACAGAGAGCTTTAGTGAAGTATACTTCATTTTAATTCATTAAATTCACTATTTTTCGTGGTCTGCTTGACCAATTAATAACATTCAATTGATCAAGGTTTTTAGTTGAGATAAAAATGTCAGTGTCACGAGCGGGATTCGAACCCACGACCTTCGGCTTGATACGCCGCTACTCTACCACTTGAGCTATCGTGACTTCGATCCCCTCGGGCACTAACTTCCCATCTCAACTGCACCTTTTTGAATTTTCCCAACTTTTTGCCATTTTTCAAATGTCGTGTAAACTATTTGATTCTTGGCGACAAATGAAATGGCCACGGAGAGCTTTAGTGAAGTATACTTCATTTTAATTCATTAAATTCAACTTGATAGACTCTTGGAAAGCTGACCAGCCACTGAAGATGGTGGTAAAACAAAACAAAAAATACTTGTTGGTTCTTGTTTTATTTTGAGCCTATGCCATTGAAATAATTACGTTTATCTCTCGGCAGAGCCCTGAGGAAGGCTTAACAAAAGCTGAAAGCTTGGTAAAAAAAATGTACGATTACTTCTCTTTGCATTCCTGATCCCAATCATCATCATCAATTGTTAATCATAGACCCTCAATTAGATTAGTTATGTTGTGTAGAGTATGATGGATGAATATGAAGTACTCCACTACCCTGAATGAATGGTGTGTAAATAGGAAAGAATGTATTTAAGAATGAGTGAGAATGCTTAGATTTAAAATAAATGTGTAAGTGGCTGAAATGACCTAGATGTTGACAACCCTTGGAAACTGACCTGGTGGCAGGTGACAGACAAGACCGAGACTGACCTTGAACTGTTAAAACCCCAGGTGGGTGAATTCTTTTGACTTGTCGGTAATTTATGGTCTCATGCTAACCACTCGGCTACCGCGGTCCCCCTGAATTGAGATTATTTGAATCAGCAATATAAAAAAGAAAGAATCTGGGGATAACAGCGAACATAAAATTGTTTTATCGTTTAATGTAAAAAAAAATTGTTTATAGACAAAATAAATTGTACAAAGTAGTTAAATATCTAAGTTAGAGTTCATCGTGATTAGACTGTATGGATTTTATTGAAGGAGGGTAGCCCCAAAAATGTGAAGGAAGCCCTTTCGATGTTCTCTCCCGGACTGCAAATGCCGAGAAGGATGAGATACAATTCGCGATAAATTGGTTGGCCTTCGCCATGATGGCAAGTTCGACGTGCGGTGTGCTCCCTTCAGCTTTTACAACTTTAACACCCATCTTCGTGAGTACTTTGCTCAATTCAGGTACCATGTGGTTTGTGTCGGACGCCACGATGAGACCGACTAGATGTTCCATGCCTCTTGCGATCCTCTTGACTTGCTTGGTTATCAGTTTGATGTCCGGGAAGCACATTTCACGAGTAGCCTTTCCTCCTTCGCCTCGGTAGCCTAAGCACTGAGGCGCTGCAAAAAGGCTCGGTGATGTTTTAATATGCTCACAAGCCCGTACCTGAAATTTTTTTTTAATGGGTTAAACGAATGAATGAATATTGCATTTACATACCCAATCTAATCCGTTTCTTAAATGAATCGCTATGAAAGACCCTTTGGGAAGGTTTGCCGCTATAAAATTGGAGGCTTCATTTGCAACTTTGTCATTCCAAACGAGGTATTTTTGTAAAACTTTATTCTCTTCTTGTACTGGAAAACTAGCCGGTGCACCCACAAATGCTAAAACTGAACTCCATTTTTATTTAAATAAAAAAATCGTGAAATTTTATAAAATTATTTTTTATTGAGTGAGTAAAAATACCAGGGTATTTATCACTAGGGTATGTTTGCCTCCATTTTAAAGCCATTTCCGAGTGAGAATGATGGACGTCATAATGAAGAGGTCCATAAAAAATGGAATCGACAAAATCAATGTTGAAAGTGTCCCAAAAAGGGCCGAAAGGGTTTCCTTCCTTGGGATTGCAAGAATTTGACGTACCCCTTGACATGTAACAGAAAGCTAAAAGGGAATAAAAAAATCAGTAAAAAAGAATAAAGATTAAAGACAACGGACTGACCGTATCTTTTCTCCTCCGGCCAGATTACAGGGGCGACATTTTTCATAAATTCTTCCATCAAAATCACCTTATGGAATTTCTCTAGCGGCTCAACTCTGAAATAAGTATTGAACGGCACTTGGACCTTAAAAAAGGAACATGATAAATATAAAGGAAGAAATAACAAGACTGATTGAAAATTTTACAGATTTTGGCTCTCCAAATCGATATTCGACCCAAGGAGGTAGAATGAGTGTCCTGTTCAGCCCTTTCGCAAATCCCAAAGCTCCGAGAAAGTGATCCGCTTGGTTTCCAAACCTTCCTATGAATGTTAAACAAAAAATCAATAACTTCTCAAAGGAAAAACTTCAAATCACACTCTTTAAAGAAGAAGAGTTGTGAAGGAAAACAATTTGAATAATTAAAATTTTTTAGAGGGTATTTGAACTATGAGGTTATATGAACTCTTGGGTGCCACCAACGCCCCCATTTAATTTTTTTTTAAATTCTGGTACAGAGTAATTTCATAGAGTAGTAGACCAAAGTAAATGCCTTAATAAGATATATAAAATTCTTCTACCAAATAACTAGACAAGTTTTTGCGGTTTTTTATTTGTTATTGTTTTAATACCGTTAATCAACAGTTATGGTAATTAAATTTACATCACGCAATACCAAGAGGACACATCGTCAGTTCATAAAGGTCTCGAGTTGTCCTGGTAAAAAAGTACACCTTTGCTGTTCATGAGAGCAGGTTGTTTACAAGATCGTTGCAGTTGGCTTGTGTATATTTCTGCGGTGATGGCTGGGAGTTTGTAGTGGACAATGCATGTCGTATTCCATCAAACACAAAGCATATCCTTTTGTTAGTGAATATTTTGTTTTCACATCAATGAAACAGTGTGACTCGGTGACAGCCAATGGTATGGCCTCCTGTATGGCCGTCGCATGTGACAATCCGGTTAAAAAACTTCTGTACTTTGTGCCATGAAAGCAATGAAAGACAGTTTAGATGCTGAAGCTTACTATCTTTTGCTCAGCTTCCATGTCTTCCAAGTCGATATAAGCTAGAGCGAATGGTTTCTTAACTTACATTGAAAACTTTGACAAGTTCCTAACATGTTTGAGTCAAATCAAGTTTTATGGCTTCCCTCAATTTATCTTCATTCAAGACTGTGGTTCACCCTCATTCTTTCATCCCCAGAAGCAAACTTTTGAACCAGTTTTGAGGCAGTGCACTCACTTATTGTTTCATCACCAAACACAGTGTAAATTTTATGAGCTACCTCTGCTGCCCTACAACCGAGGTAAAATTCTTACAATCGTACAAATTATAGGTTTTGAAGCCGTGATAAAGAAAAAATATACAATTTGTTTTTTATAATTTACAATTAACAATTCAAGACACTTTTTCTTAATGATCTTACATCCTATACGAACAGAAATTTTGATTGATGCTATTAAAACAGTAATAAATGAAAAATCGCACAAACTCTTGTGTACCTTCTGGGCAAAAATAGATAATTTAAATTTTGGCCAAATGATATGTGCATATTCCATTAAGTCTTTAGGCCTGACAGAGTCTACAATTATTGAAGTTGAAACCACTTCCTTTCAAGCACAATGTGCTTTTGTTTAGACACCTCAATACATTTTGATTATTCTACTTGAACCAAGGGTCAAAACTTGAAAATTACAATCCTGAAAAGTTGTGTTTTCACAATGTGCAGAATTCTTTTAAATGCAAAGTAGTTTTATAAAATTTAGCAATAAATGCAGAAAATAATTCAAGCTAAAACCAAAAATATCAGTTGGGATAAACTGGCATTGGATTTGAACGATCAATTAAAATGCATATATTTGTTAACGACTTCACACTTTAAAAACCAGCAATTGCAGGCAAAAAAACACTGGTGAGGTGTCGAAAATGTTCAGGTGATTTTCTCTGACCATCAGGCAGCACTACGGGCCTTAGTTTCATGCGAGGCGAAGGCAAAGAGTGTTTTGGAACTGCATGGGGGCCCTGGAAGAAGTCAGTTACTCTAATTACCTGACCCTGGGCGCTTGGGGGCATAGAGGCAACGGAAAGGTTGTTGGGGGCCAACATGGACTCTGGGTCCTGAACCCTACTGCGGCGTAGCATCCTGCCACAAAAGAGGATACATCTTAAAATGGATCCTTAATGAGCGCAAAATCTAGTGGAACAATACCACAGTATGAGCCACGCGAAGAGATTCATAAAAGGACAATCCGCAAATCTTACAAAAGAATTACTGGAAGGCAACCACAACCGAACCAAGATTCTGGTTGAACTCCTGACAAGATATCGCAACTTAAGAAAGCACATGTACCGGATAGTAGTCCAGACAGAAGAAACACTGTGCAGATACTGCCAGGAAGAGGAGATAGCAGAACACATTCTATGTTTTTGTGAAGGTCTATGTAGGTGCAGTTTCTACACTAAGGAGCCGCTGTCAAAGCTATGGAGGCTGATTAACAACCTGAAGCTAGCCAGTGAGTTATAAAAAAACAGGGGAATACAATTGATCTAATCAGGTCGAGGTGCAGTAGGCTTTGTGGCCGCCTCTTTTATCCATATCCACTATATTCTAGATTCATGTTGAACCGGCATTGGGCCAACGTCATCCGCGAGTCAGTAACTGACATAATGCCGGTTCAGCATAAGTTCACCGACTCGCAGACCAACACCCAGTTTCAACTTGGTTACTAGATTCTTTGCGAGCAATAAGTTTACCTGCTATAACTAAGTTTTCACACTTTATAAATGTGCAAATTAGTTTGTGTTAATTTTAGAATTTGTCCATGAGATGTTTCATGGCAACGTTTGAGAACAAGGAAAACAAAAAAGCATGCAGAGAATGAAAATTATTTGTACATTTAATGTCTTACCCATGCAAGGGCAGTAGGCAATGTATCCATTTGGATCGAAAAAATGATACGAATCGAAAAGGCTGAAAACAATCGAGAGAAACGGAAAATAATGGGCAATCATTTATAAAACTGGTGCAAGGGAATTTTGATGGGAGTCGGGTTGTTTACCGGAGGTTATCCATGGCTCCTATCGGTTACTATGGCAATAAGGCGCTGATGAATGATGATGACCACCCAACGCGATTCATCGACCTTTTCACACTTGATCAATTACTTCATCATAACAAACTGCTACGTCTCTTTTGTTTTTAATTGTCCATTCGATTTTTATAGAATTTTGAGTGAAAGGAATATTTAATCACAATAGTTTAATTGATATTATGGCAGGCTTAATTTTCATATTACTGGGAATGATGTTGAACCATTATGGAAATAATTCGTTGATGAATGTTGGAAAAATTTAAATTTTTACCCGCTGTTATATAGATAAAAGAACAAAGGGATTGGATTTGGGATTTTACACAACGCCTTTACACTACTTTCAATTTACATAAATGGTCTCGAAGACGACAAAATGCCATGGTTCAACTGACCTACCCCATTGACCAAAAAGAATTTTGTTCTTTTGAACTGAAATTATTATTAAAACTATTTGAAATTTCGAACATTTTAATATTAATACGAATTTGAAAATAAAATTTGTCTGTATCAGTCAAAATTGATATATTAATAATCTGTAATTGATACATAATAAAACTACAAAGTTACACATTTTAAGGCTGAAAATGTATACACTGAAATTTGAAACATTTGACCACAACATACTCACTTATTTAACACTGCAGTTTCATTTGGTGCTGAAATTGGATACATTTTACCACGACAAATTCACTTATTCAGCAATGCAAAATTATAAATTTGGCACGGAAATTTGATAATACATGACACGGAAATATCAAAATACATTTCATCACGACAAATGAACTCATTTAGTAATGCAAATTTATACATTTTGACACGGAAATTTGATACATTTAACACTACAAATACACTCAGTTAAAACTACAAAGGTACACTTTTTTAACACCGAAATTTGAGACATTTACGACAACAAATTTCCTTATTTAACAATGAAAAACTATTCATTTTGACACTGAAATTTCTGACATTTTATCACTAAAAAATCACACATTTTAACACCGAAATTTGATAGATTTACGACAAGTTCACTTATTTAACAATGCAAAATTATACATTTTGACATGAAATTTGGTACATTTTAACACTGAAATTTCTTACAATTTTTCCAAAAGAATTCACTTACTTAACAATGTAAATTTACATGTTAACAGTGAAAATTGATACATTTTAACCACACAGATTTCCTTATTTAACACTATACATTTTAGACAGAAAATGTATACAATTTAACACTGAAATTCAATACATATTAACACACAAATTTGATTCGTTTTAACACTGTAAATTTATACATTTTGGCTCTGCAAGTTTATAAATTTAAATTGTGCTTTTACAGTACACACTTGAAATGCAAAACACGAAAAAGGTACACATTTTAACACTACAGTCACATAATTGAACACTACGAAGTGACACATTTTAACACTAAAATTTGATATAGTGTAAAAAACTACAAATTCACTACTTTAACAATGATATTTGGTAGATTTTAACACACGAAATTTGATACATTTTAACACTACAAATTCACACATTTTAACAAAAATTTAAATTTTTTTAAAAGCTATAAATTCACACACTTCAATGCTGTTATTTGATACTTTTAACACTACAAAGTCACACATTTTAACGCTGCAATTTGATAATTTTTAATCTCCAGATTCATTAATTTTAAAACTGAAATTTGATCCAACTTAACACTAAAATTTGATTCATTTTAACACTAAAATTTGATACAGTCTTAACAATCTACATCAATACTTTAACATTGATATTTGGTACTTTTTAACACTAAAAATTCACACATTTTAAATTTAAATTTAAATTTTTTTAAAAGCTATAAATTCACACACTTGAACACTGTTATTTGATACTTTTTAACTCTAAAAAGTCACACATTTAAATGCTGTAATTTGATAATTTTTAAAATCCCGATTCATTCATTTTAAAAATGAAATTTGATCCATTTTAACACTAAAATTTGATACATTAAAAAAAACTACAAATACACTTTTTTTGAACGAGAGTATTTGAACTACGAGGTTATGTGAACCCTTGAATTCACAACATTAACACTAAAATTTGATACATTTTAACACCTGAAATGTGATACATTTTAACACTGCAAAGTCCCACATTTTAACGTTGAAATTTGATCATTTTGAAACTACAAATTCATACATTTTAAAACTGAAAATTGAACCATTTTAACACTGAAATTTGTTTTATGTTAACTGGAGCAAATTTATACATTTTAACTCCGCGTGCTTTTACAGTTTAAAACTGAAAATGTATAAAATTTAACAGGGAAAATTGATAAATGTACCCACTGTAAATTGATACCTAATGACACCTCAAACTCGCACATTTTAAGACAGAAAATTTATCTATTTTAACACTCAAATTTGATGCTTGCATCTAGAGCTTAATCTAGCGAGATTTGTTATTGAATACGGAGTAATTTTGTTTAAGAAAATCGAAGTGGTTTAACTGGATTAAATCAAATAGGAAGTGTTAGATGCAAAGTCTCCATTTCTCCTGCAACCATTTTATTTTGTTGGTCAGACGCCGAAACGCTACTGATTGCTGACAAACCAAAACGGCGAGGAGGCAGGCCAAAACGACGAAATTAAATACCTAACCTGTTCATCATTTAACTAGGGATAAAAGCTGAAAATGACAGTTTCCATCTAGTAGGTAGTAAAAGTGTAATTTTAAAATTAACCACATATGTAACTAATTTCCCGAGTTAAAAGGAATTTTATAGAAACTCAAAATGCCTTTTTGGAATTTTTGGTTACATGTATTCTATTTTATTGCCATTGAAGTGAATAACCCTTTTACCATTTACAATAAAGGATGCAGCTTGATTAATGATTTCTTAAACTAGGGGTCTACTTAATGCTAGTGGTTATAAAAATATGGTAAATTCCAAAACTATAATTTATTTTATTAATTTTTTTAACAAAAGTGTGTAATAAAATTAATATACCATTTTAAAAAACTTCGTTAATAAATGGTTTCATTTTGTTTAAAAAATAATACGACTACCCAGTTTATCGGGCGCGATTTAATTCGTAAAAACAATTAAGTAAAAACAACTTCATTTTCCTTGTGTCCTTCATAAAGAATGTGAGCTTTTGGGCAGAATTGTTTTTAATTACTCGAGGAACACAGAAAAATCATCGGGGATTTCTTAAAACGAGAAGCAGAATTAAATAATATATTTTGTAAAAACCCGTCGTACTCCCAAAGGATAAATTAATTGTTTATAGTAGAATATTTCCTCTTCTGACCAGCTATTTAACAAGGACATCTGAAATTTCTTTCGACAACCGTCTGCGTCGAGGGGCTCTAAAAATAAAACGTCGTTTGCCTATTTCGTGAGAGTTTCTTGGTCTTCTGAAAATAAAAGTTCAGGCTGTTAAACTGACGAAATTATCCTGGTGTGAGGAGACAAGATCCACGTTCGGAGTAAAATAATATAGCTCAACCATTCGAGGATTGATTAGCGTTATTTCTGATTAACGAACTGTATAACGTGATTTTAATTATGACGAGACAGTAATGATTAATAAAAAGAAGTATTATTATTGTTTTAATCAATGGTTGATTATAATTGTTTAATAATTTTACATTTTATTCTAGCTGAATCTAATGGATGGTTCTGATCCATTGGCGTTGCAGAAGAACCCTCCCTGGTTTGTTTATCCTTCTTTTATGTCTATCCCTGTTCTTTCCTAAGGGCCCTTGGACTAGAGTTAGTTTATTTTTTTTAAAATTTCACCTAGTTCACACACACAGTCCCATATTGTTCGTGATCTTACGTCAGGTGAGGACAGTGATTTTCCAGCTTGGCTATCATCAGAGTAGATGGTTTGCTATCTCCAGTAACCTGTGTCTATGTACAACTGATTTTGCTTCTTCCTAGATGATTTGTAGATATTATATCTCCAGAGCGGTCGTGATTCTCAGGCATGTCCTTTGAGTGCAATTTAGGATTTTTTATTTCTGGATGCAGAGGAAGAAACCCAGCTGCATCAACAGACCTCAAGAGGAAATCTCACTATTATATTTTTAAACACGTTCTTTTCTACCACTCACTAGAGGAATAGTCTGAGATAGTTGATATTTTTTTTTATCACACTGGAGTATACAGTTATCGTCGAGTATATGTAAAGGTCGGTGGGCCAATAGGTCCGACGTTCCATGAAGGTGAAATTCATTGAAATTCAGTAGTAGTTTTGTCGTTTTCGATAACTTTGATCTGTCAGACGCGTGGCTTCTCGCCATCTTCCGTCTGGGTCTGTATTATTTCTCAATAACGGTGAGAATAGGCAGACCAAAATTGTCAAAACCAACGAAACTCGTAAGTGTTTATACTGGACTAAAATAATAAAAATAGAAGTATTTTTTTAGTTCAATTTCATTCAAAAAATATGACAGGTGACCGGGTAACATGCATTATTTATTATGTAAGTATTATTAGCTTTTATGCTGGTGATGTGGAAAGAATGTTTTAAGTTTATTTTATAATTATTCGTATTGTATTGTTTGGAGGATCCAGTTCTGCTTTGTTTCAGTCGCATCTTTATTATGCGAGAAAATATACATATCCAAACAGAAAAGATGCATATGGGTCTGACCAAAAAGCAGTGTATTTATTTTGATTTTGTAACTTCACTCATGCAGTAAGTTCTTTTGTATAGGAAAATGCCCTAAATACAAACAGAACAAATAAATAAACTACCCCCTTTTGAAGTACCTTGTTTTCACGGGATCTTTTCAGAACCGGCTTGAGAGGTGTCCAATGGAACATTTCAAGTCGTGATACCTTTTGAAAACCCACCCTAGATCAAAAAAACAAAAAAAAAAAAAACGTAAAAAGTCCCTTCTCGATCCGTGAGAAAAACGACTGGGATGATCCGGGATATTTGAAATTAAAAAAATAAACTAGGCGAATTGCTCTAATTTTGCTCGATGTTTGT